GGGTACAACTGGTATAAGTAGCTTATTACAGATGTAAGAGGGGTACAACTGATCTTAAACTCGTATTGGTGGGGTACAACTGGTATAAGTAGCTTATTACAGATGTAAGAGGGGTACAACTGATCTTAAACTCGTATTGGTGGGGTATAACTGGTATAAGTAGCTTATTACAGATGTAAGTGGGGTACAACTGTTCTAAACTCATATTGGTGGGGTACAACTGGTATAAGTAGCTTATTACAGATGTAAGTGGAATATTGATGGTTTAACTGGGTTATTGCAGGTGTAAGTGGGATTTTACTGGTGTTAGTTGGGTGCTATTGGTATAAGTGGGATATATCTAGTGTTAGAGGGTATTACTGGTCTAACTGGGATATTATTGGTGTAAGTTTGATGCTATTGGTATAAGTGGGGTATATCTAGTGTTAGAGGGTATGACTGATGTAAGTGGGATATTATTGGTGTTAGTTGGGTGCTATTGGTTTAAGTGGGGTATATCTAGTGTTAGAGGGTATTACTGGTCTAACTGGGATGTTATTGGTGTAAGTTTGACGCTATTGGCATATGTGGGGTATATCTAGTGTTAGAGGGTATGACTGATGTAAGTGGGATATTATTGGTGTTAGTTGGGTGTTATTGATATAAGTGGGGTATATCTAGTGTTATTCGAGTATGACTGGTGTAAATGAGTTATTACAAGTGTTACTGGGTATTACTGGAATTAGTTGTGTGTTTCTTATGTGTAGATGGGTTAAAACTGGTGTAAGCGGGTTATTACAGATGTGAGTTAAATATTAATTGTATTAGAATGGTGTTATTGGTGTAAGAGGGGTATAACTAGTGTTAAGGGGTATGGCTGGTGTAAGTGGGTTATTACAGGTGTGCCTGGGTTATTACTTATATTCGCTGGGTGTTATTGGTGACAGTTGAATATAAATGATGTTATTGGAGTATGACTGGTGTAAGAGGGTTATTACAGGTATAACACTTTAGTAGGTTATTACTAGGATTAAGAGGGTTTTATTATTGTAAATAAATGATTACAGGTGTCAGTTGGGTGTAACTGGAGTTAGATGTGAGTAACTATTGTAAGTAGGTTATTACAGGTGTCAGTTGGGTGTAACTGGAAATAGATGTGTGTAGCTATTGTAAGTAGGTTATCACAGGTGTCAGTTGGGTGTAACTGAAGTTAGATGGGTGTGACTGTTGTAAGTAGGTTATTACCGGTGTTAGTTGGGTGTAACTGGAGTTAGATGTGTGTAACTATTGTAAATAGGTTATTGCCGTTGTCAGTTGGGTGTAACTGGAGTTAGATGGTTGTGACTGTTGTAAGTAGGTTTTTACCGGTGTCAGTTGGTTGAAACTGGAGTTAGATGTGTGTAACTATTGTAAGTAGGTTATTACCGGTGTCAGTTGGGTGTAACTGGAGTAAGATGGGTGTGACTGTTGTAAGTAGGTTATTACCGGTGTCAGTTGGGTGTTACAGGTAAAAGTGGGTTATTACAGGTGTTTGTGGGGTATAACTGGAGTTAGATGGGTGTGACTATTGTAAGTAGGTTACTACCGGTGTGAGTTGGGTGTAACTGGAGTTAGATGGGTGTGACTGTTGTACATGTAAGTAAGTTATTACAGGTGTCAGTTGGGTATTACAGGTAAAAGAGGGTTATTACAGGTGTTTGCGGGGTATAGCTGGAGTTAGATGGGTGTGACTGTTGTAAGTAGGTTATTACAGGTGTTTGTTGGGTATTACTGGGGTTAGCTGTGTTTTACTGATGTAAGTGTGGTATAAATGGTGTTAAAAGGGAATACCTATGACTGGTGTAAGTAGGGTATTACTCGGCACAGTAGCCCTCGTTATACTTCTTGTATACTAGATGTATACGTTGAGTTACTGTACCGAGTGATAGAAACCAACCGCTCTGGGCTTGAGGATTGATCGACTTTTCAAGTTCAGATCCACTGTATTCCGCTTATGCCTCATTGTACAACGTTTGCCATTGGAGAATACACAGCATTTCTGACTTCTTAATGTTAATGCTTATTTGCGACTAACACATATTTTCTAATAAATCCACGCGATGACAAGGTAGGAGAATACTTTGGTATTGTAGCATTTTTTACATCAATACTATTGACGTGTGCCATGGAGTACCGTACAACGATTGTGTCGGTAGCCCAAACCACGTGTTGTAACGTCTAACCGCAGTAAACTTAGATGTTACTGTGAGGCAAAGAAGTCTCACGAGATTATCCGGCACATATTTAGATGTACTGATGGCAGTATATGATGCGTTGCTTTCTAATCCTTCCATTCGGTTATAGAAACTCCGCCAAAGTATCCTACCAAACAAGTCACAAAAAGCTATGTGTTAATGTTTAGTCTCAATATATTTCAAAATAACACCTCAATTATGTTCTGTGTGTTTGTTTGTTTTGGTTTGAATGTCTTTGCAACAGACAAGGTCATACGTAGACGGGACTTCCATTCCCATACATATTGGGCTAATGTCAGTTTGTCATGAATGTGGTTAGATATATATCTCCTTCAATTATCAATCGTCATACGGCCTTAGTTGTTACAAAGACGTTTAACTCCAAACAAACTATCGAATTGTGAAATATTACTTCCTACCCAATATATCTCTATCGATAGCTTCGGTTCAAAACTATAACTCCGTCCGCAAATATATTCTGATGTGCCAATCAACAACCAGCAATACTCTGTTTACAAGTCCCAGTGTTATCTTAGCTTAAGACGCACTTCCTAAACAAGGGATGTTTTCTTATCTTTATCGGAATACGTGGAAAGTACTTACTTTTGTTTGGTGAAGCTATGATATATTGCCA